AAAAACACCAATTTAGGGTTGCCACTAAATGTATAATGTTGCCTGAAGCCAGTTCCGACTCTTACTGTCTGATTTATCGCCCCCACATAAAATACATCTCCATCATGTTCACTTCTTAAATATTTAGACTTTTAAATGTATCTAAAAATACAGTGTGTGAAAACACCCTTAGGACTTTGAAGTTTTTTCCTGGTATACGAGGAGGTGAAGAAGAGATAAATCCTGAACATCAGAGGAAAGTCTGCTTCCCCTTATGCACACATTCCTGATGAGTTTCAGTCTTGGAAGGCTTTATTATTTTAATTTTCCAAATTAAGTAGTATTTAGATTCGTAAATATCCCTTGGAGTCTTCTATTATTTCGGAAGTGTTTTGCTCTAATGGATTTTAGAAACCATTATTACTTCTGGCAATCTGTTCATTAGGATAAGATTTCCCCCAAAAAGTATGGTTTTAATTTTAGGTTACTAAAAGTCTTAGATCTTTTGAGCTATTTTGATGCCATATATTTTCCATCATGTTCTTATTCACAGGCTCGCTATGTGCTGTCTGTGCAGTTTGCTTTTACGCTGTTTTAAACTTTCCACCATTTCATTTTGCATGGTATTCACTCAATTTCTTTACCGTATACATTTGCCTATTTTTCCATTTAATGTTACTGCCGAATCTTCTCCAGTTGGATTGTCTCTCATTGGTTGTATCGCTTTTTTAGTTTGCCACAGGTATATCTAGGAAAATTATATAGTCCTGCTTATTTGTTGTTGTCTCAAATTCTCCTGATATGTCACAATCAGTTTTTTTGGGCCAACCTTGGCCCATTTTGGGTTTACATTGACTAGATCTATGATGGTGTTGATTTTCACCCAAGATCAAGGTGACCAGACATCCCGCTTTTGGCGGGACAGTCCCGATTTTTAACAATTTGTCCTGCATCCTGCGGTGTTTTAAAAAAGTCCCGATTTTTGGAAAGAATGCACAACAAGCTAGGGAACGACGGGAGAACGGGAAGGAAATATATGGTTTTCAGCGGCCATGTGGCTATTTCGCCAGGATATGAGTTTTATATTATTTTTATTAATTTTATAATGTTAAACTTTAATAATAACAACAAGCCGGCAAGAATGCCTAAGAGAGACAGCTACCTGGTATGCTAGAGAGCCAGTGTCAAATAAATAAGCTGGTTGGAGTTTTGGCATGTAATAGGGCAGTTTCCAAACTACCTCTCATGATTAAGACATGGTTGCTAAACCATGCAAGTTTTAGCATTCCTTAGCTGTAAGGAATGTTGAAACAGGAATTTATTTATTCCTTGAGTATCCAATCACTTGGCCAATAAAGACTATTCTATTCTACATTCTATCCTATCCTATCCTATCCTATCCTATCCTATCCTATCCTATCCTATCCTATCTCTGTTCTTTATAACACTATTTTTGTGAACTAGTACGCACTTGACTCAGTGTGCAGCTGAACCTACTAAGGGCTGATTCACACCAGTGGTGGGTTTCAAAATTTTTTGGAACTTCTTCTGTAGGTGTGGCCTGCTTTCCGGGTCCACTGGTGGAACCTCTTCTAACCGGTTCAGTAGATTTGACGAACCGGTTCTACCGAACTGGTGCGAACCAGTAGGAACCCACCTCTGATTCACACAAGCTGGGTTATTTGTTGTTTCACCGGTCAGCATTGTATTTAAAGACGTGGCTCTTGGGGCTGAGTTATTCAGGCTTTTCCTCCTTAGGCAAATGAACTTAATGTTGCAGTCAGTCATATATTTGCTAGAGGGTAATCATGCAAATGCAGCCTTTCCATTGCCATGGGCTGAGGTTGATTCAAGCCAAAACTGAATTGCAATATCAGTTCTTGGGAATGGAAACATCGATTGCTCTTACGTAACGCAATTATGATGAAACTAAGCTAAAAGAGACTCTTGAGATCTATAATGCCATACAACTTCAAACAGGTGGGGGTTCTGGTTACCTATGCAATGGATATGTGCCATCTGCAGGAATACTGGGCTTTCTCCTAGTATTACAGTAGATTGCTGCATTTGGCTTATGAGCTGAACAGCAGGGTTCCACCACAAAACCGTGTTCGACTAAAGTGCGTTCGACGAAACCGCGTAGCTGACGTCATCACAGCG